TCTCTGTTGCTCCTCATCAGTCCACTACAACATACAGTTATACATTAATAGGTCTGTACAGTGGTATGAACTATACCATCACAGTGAGAGCTGGTAATGTACTAGGAGGATCTGATCCTAGTTTTGTTGAAAAAGATACAATGCCAACAGGTTTGGTACAATCTTCAACTATTATGTAATACTATATTTATAGCTCCTATTGGTGTACCTACTTCTTTGTCTTTATTACAGCCAATTAATAATCTCACTTGGAATGAGGTCAATTGTTCTGAACGTAATGGTCTAATCACAGGCTATACAGTGATGATCAGTAACAGTAGTATCACATATAACCTCACCAGTACTAAGAGATCTATCATATTGAATGATCTAGCATTTGGTACTAAGTACAACATTAGTGTAGCTGCTGTAAACTTTGCTGGAAGAGGTCCTTTCAGTGGTCCTATAATTGTAGAGATTGGAATGGGTATGCATGTTTTAAATTATTTTGTGAGAATCTATTTCTTTATTTAGTACCTGGCCCAGTTGGTTCAGTATCCAGTATCATGGACACTACATGGGCTGTTATCTCATGGAGTAAACCTATTTATATTCCATCAGACTATCCCATCATCACATATGAGATAGGATATCATGCCTTAGAGTCTGGTAACTGTTCAATGGTATATGATGATGACATTACTCCTGAAATACTGAATCTATCTAATGTATCTAGTAACGATACTTTTACTATCATCACTGGTCTGAATAGTAATACCTGTTACATTTTTGGTATACGTGCATATTCTGATAATGGATACGGGGCATGGACAGTTACTACTAATGAGACTCTAGAACTACTAACAGAATCATCGTCTATACTAATATCACCTTTATCCATGATAAAATCATTATCTTCACTAATATCACCATCATCTGCACAAATATCATTATTTACAATAGCATCATCATCATCCACAAAACAGTTATTTTCTACAGTAATATCACCATCATCTACTCTAAAGTCTTTATCATCATCAGTAATACAAACATCAGGTATGAGTATAGTCCCCATAATTTATAAACCTCACTTATTTTTAAAACAGTGGCTGCTACTATGAAGCCTGAAAGTAAGTCTTTTATTTTGTATGAAGATTTATACAATAATTATGATTACAGATACTTCATTCATTGTTACTGTTGGAGGCTCAGGGATTGCTGTAATAATGATAGCACTATTGATAGTATTGATTGTTATAATTATAGCTTTCATAAAGTAAAATCTATGACTGTCAAAATTGTTCATTATTAGTTTTTTAACAGAAGAAAGAAGTCACTGAAAATTAGCAAATACAATGTTAACATAGCTATGTCAGAAATACAAGGTAGTTATGATGTATTATTAA